GCCACAGAGAAACCCTGTCTCGAAAAACCAAAAAATAAAAATAAAAAAAATAAAACAATGTTCAGAGTCTCAGCCGGGCATTGGTGGCGCACGCCTTTAATCCCAGCACTCGGGAGGCAGAGGTAGGCGGATTTCTGTGAGTTCGAGGCCAGCCTGGTCTACAAAGTGAGTTCCAGGACAGCCTCCAAAGCCACAGAGAAACCCTGTCTCGAAAAACCAAAAAAAAAAAAAAAAAAAAAAAAAACTCACATCCTTCCAACATATACTGGAGCAGGATATATATATATATATTAGCATTACCTTTCCAAGATGTAGGGGAGGGAGGGAGCATAATGAGGAAATACTGGACCAAAGCAAGACCAACACCCAGCTGGGCAAACTCCAAACTGTGCATCTTCATACCTGTTATTGAAAGGTTTCTGTACCCTGACATTAAGTCTCTCTGCTTACTCGACAAACCAAACCAAGGTGAACTAAGAATTACAAGTTCAGGTTTAATGAGTAGACTGCCCAGAGGGGGAGAAGGAATTGGAAAACCATGTGGCCTTTCCTTAAGAAGCCATTTAAATACCCTGTAGGTGTGGTCCTGAGTATCTCTGGGGGAAGAGCTGGTCCATTGGAGTGAGCCCCTGTAGGTGAAAGTTTCTGTCCCACCCTGTCCTGCAACTGGTCAGTTCAAATAAACACACAGAGGCTTATATTGATTATAAACTATTTGGCCTATTGCTCAGGCTTATTGGCAACAAACTCTTGCAACTTAAAGTAACCCATAATTCTTCTCTATGTTTAGCCACATGTCATGGAACCTTTTCTCAGTAAGGCATTGTCATCTTGTTTCCTCTGCATCTGGTTGGCAACTGTGTCTCTGCCTTTTCTCTTCAGGAAATTCTCCTAGTCTGGTAGCCCTGCCTATACTTCCTGCCTGGCCCATCAGCATTTTATTAAGCCAGTATGAGTGACAAATCCTTACAGTGAACAAGAGCACTGTCCCATGTCAGATCCCCTCCAGGCAGAGTTCCACCCCAGCACCGACAGCAAAGCATTCCTCACACCTCCAGCTCCTGTCAGCTTTGCTGACTGCAACACTCTTCCTTCTCTCGGGCTGCTTCCCCTCCCTGCTAGCCGCTCTCCTCGGCAGCTATCCCATGGCAGAACTCAACATCTTAGGGTCTCCAAGGCAATTCAGGCTTCACCTTAACAGATTCACACAATGACCTCTCCAGGCCTCCCTTGAGGGACTCTCCTGACACATGCCTGGCCTCAGCGGCTTTCCTTATTTGTGGAGGAGTATGTCATAACCCTTTCTTCTGTCCTTAAAACCAAAACCATGTGGCCAAAGCTGCCAAGTTATACTGCTTGCTGGGGCTGGAACATGCCCCCTTCATTCATTTACATCTTCACCAGTTTTCTCTTTTCGATGCTTACTTTCACTGCCTGTGCTTGGCTGTTCAGGAACTTGCTCTATAGACCAGGCTCCCATAGTTCATCAAATCACACCCAGCACCACTGCTTTCCATGCTCCTACTACTATGAACCATTAAGGAGCACTTTAAAGCAGTCACCTGATTTTCTTTTCTTTTTTTTTTTTAAGATTTATTTATTATGTATACAGTGATGTATTCCTGCATGCCAGAAGAGGGCGCCAGATCTCATTACAGATGGTTGTGAGCCACCGTGTGGTTGCTAGGAATTGAACTCAGGACCTCTGGAAGAACAGGCAGTGCTCTTAACTTCTGAGCCATCTCTCCAGCCCCCCCTTGTATCTTAGTTAAGGTTTTATTGCTGTGAAGAGACACCATGACCATGGTGGCTCTTTTACATCTTGATCCCACAGGCAACAGGAAATGATCTAGACACTAGATGTGGCTTGAGCATAGGAGACCTCAAAGCCTGCCCCCACAGTCACACACTTCCTCCACCAAGGCCACATTCACCCCAGCAAAGCCTAATAGTGCCACACCTAGTGGCACTCTTTGGGGCTATTTTCTTTCTTTCTTTTTTTTTTTTTTTGTTTTGTTTTGTTTTGTTTTTTGAGCTGTACTGGAACACTGGAACTCACTGGCCTTAAACTCACAGAGATCGGCCTGCCTCTGCCTCCCAAGTGCTGAGATTAAAGGCATGCGCCATCACCATCAGGCTGCTATTTTCTTTCAAACCACCACAAGGGCCTGGTCTTAGTCACACAGACAGTGTAAAGGTCATCTGAGCTCTGGGGGCAGAGGCCTAGATGGACTGTAATGTTTAAAACAGTGTCTCTCTACACAACCCTGGCTGTCCCTGAACTCACTATGTAGACCAGGCTGATGTTGAACCTACAGACATACACCTGCTTCTACATTATAGAACCCAGTGCAATATTTTGTTTATTTGTTTCGAGACACAAGATGTTTTCTGCCCAGAAGGCTGGGAATGGAGGTGACTAATAGCCTGGTGATTCTTGTGCTATTTGTAGGGACAGGCCCGACAGCTCCCCAAAGCTCCCACAACCAGGACTGAAGGTGGTTAATAGCAGAGCTTGTGAGTTCAAGCTTTGTAGACCAGACTGGCTTCAATCCCAAAGAGATCCACCTGCCTCTGTCTCCCGAGTGCTGGGGTTAAAGGCATGTGCCACCACTACCCAGATGCAAAAAGTTATTATTTTATATGAATTGGTGGTTTACTGCATGTATGTCTGTGAATGAGCCAGAACCTCCAGAAATGGAGGTATGGACAGTTGTGAGCTGTCATGTGGCTGTGGAAAGTGAGTCTGGGTCCTCTGGGAAGAGCAGTCAGTGCTCTCAACCACTGAGCCATCTCTCCAGGCCCCGGTACAAATTTTTTAAAAAGGAAAATTCAAATCAAAATCACACTTTAGCTGGAAAGAGGACTCACCCTTGTAACTGCAGCATTTAAGAGGTAGCAGTGTTGGAAGTTCAAGGTCAGGACCAGGTATGGTAGCACACACCTTTAGTTTCAGTGCTTTGGGAGGTAGAAGCAGGGGGATCTCTGTGAGTTCAAGGCCAGCCAAGGCTTCACAGTGAGGCTCTGTCCCAAAAGCACTTAAAAAGAAAATTAAGATCATCCATCATAGGTTTCCAAGCTATTCTAGGCTACATGAGACCCTGCTGTATAAAACAAAAACAAAGAGAAAACCCTGGGTCCTAGGAGGCTGCAGAAGTAGCTCAGTAGCAGAGCCTCACCTGTCCTGTGAGACTCTCCACCGCAAGGGGACCCTGCCTCCCTGAGGGACCTGCATCTGCCCATATCCCTAGTAAAAACCATGATCCAGGAGGGGTGGCGTACACATGCAATTCCAGAATTTGGAGGGGTGAGATTGTGAACTATAGGCTAGCCCTGGGTGCAAAGAGAAAATCTGCCTAAAAAAAAAAAAAGAAAAGAAAAAAAGAAAGAAAAAACAAGAAATAAAAGAACAAAAGAAATGTTAGGCCAGCAGGATGGCCTATCAGGTAAAGTCATTGCTTCAGAGCCCGATGGCGCATGTGCCATCCCCAGGACCCATCTAAAGGCTGAAGGAGAGAACCCACTCCTGAAAATTGTCTTCTGACTTCCATTTGCTCACCCTGGAATGAACACTAAATAAAAATAAATAAATAAATAAATAAATAAACAAATTTTATGGTCTAGTTTAAAGTGGGTATGGGGCTGGAGAGATGGCTCAGAGGTTAAGAGCACTGTCTGCTCTTCCAGAGATCCTGAGTTCAATTCCCAGCAACCACATGGTGGCTCACAACCATCCATAATGAGATCTGGTGCCCTCTTCTGGCATGTAGGCAGAACACTGTATATGTAATAAATAAATAAATCTTTAAAAAAAATAAAGTGGGTGTGATAGTACATGCCTTTATTCCTAGAGGAGTCAGGGGATTTACTTAGCTAGTTCCAGGACAGCCAGGGCTAAATAGTGAGACACATAGAGACAGACAGACACACACACAGAGACAGACAGACAGACACACACACACACACACAGAAGCAGGCAGACACAGACACACAGAGACAGACACACGAGAGACAGGCAAACACACACACACACACACACACACACACACACACACACACAAACTCACTCAGTGGGTAAAGATTTGCCATATAAAGATGAGGACCCAGTGTTCAGATCTCATATAAAGCAGGAAGCAGGTCATGCTAACATGTGGGTTGGTTTTTTCCTGAGATAGGGTTTCTCTGTGTAAGAGTCCTGGCCATCCTGGAACTCACTATGTAGACCAGGCTGACCTTGAACTCACTGAGATCCGCCTGCCTCTGCCTCCCAAGTGCTAGGATTAATGTGCCACCACTGCCCTGAAACATGTTTAAATAATTTATTTAATCTATGTGCATTGATGTTTTGCCTACATGTATGTCTGTGTGAGGGTATCAGATCTTGGGAGTTACAAACAGTTGTTAGATACCATGTGTGTATTGGGAATTAATTGAGCCCTGGTCCTCTGGAAGAACAATCAGTTCTCTTAACCACTGAGCCATCTCTCCAGTTCCTGTAATATGTTGTGTGTGTGTGTGTATGTGTGCGTGTGTGTGTGTGTTTTGTTTTTTGTTTTTTTGAGACAGGGTTTCTCTGCTGCTTTGGAGGCTGTTCTGGAACTAGCTCTTGTAGACCAGGCTGGTCTCGAACTCACAGAGATCCTCCTGCCTCTGCCTCCCAAGTGCTGGGATTAAAGGCATGTGCCACCAACGCCCGGCTCATAATAGGTTTTTTAATAGTGCTTCTATGGAAAAATGGGAGCAGAGACAGGAGACTCCTGAGAAGCTGGCAGGCTAGTGAGCTCTGGGTACACAGCAGTGATCAAGAGACACTGTCTCAGCCAGGGTCTTAAATCTCACAGCCTGTCACTCCGTTAGGATTAAGAGTGTATGTTACCATGCCCAGCCTACATGCAGTCTTAGATATCCTTCTTGGGGAAGCAGTTATTTCCCTGCCTTTCACAAAGGCATCTGATCCCACAACCCATCTGAATCTCACTTCTTCATTGAAAACACCAGAATAGTAATAAACATAAACATTTATTAAACATGTATCTGTCTCTCTCCTAAGCAATTTAAACACAACTCATCAGCGCTCTTTAAGAGTCTTATGAGGTAGAAAGCCTGACCATTCCCAGAGTTGAGACATGAGGCCCAGAGAGGTCAAGACATTTACCTGAGGTCACACAGGAAGAAAAGGGTAAAATGGGCAGAGTCCTACCTATGTGACAAATGTCCCTCGTGTGTGTGTGTGTGTGTGTGTGTGTGTGTGTGTGTGTGTATGCAAATGTATGTACAGGTGTATGTGCAGGTGTTTGTGTAGGAGGCCGAGGGCAACTTTGGGTACATTTCCTGAAGCACTGTCCCACCATTTTGTTTGGAGGCAGATTCCTTGGCCTGCGTTTCACTGAATGGAGTAGCGAGCCCCAGGGAGGTGCCTGTCTCCATCCCCCAGTGCTGAGATCACAAGCTTGTCCCACCCACACAGCTAACATGGGCTCTGGGAATTGAGCACTTCACTGGCAGGGCAATCTCCCCAGCCTCCAACAAGCAGTTACTGCGTGCCTTCTGTATACCAGGAACTGATCTAGCTGGTGGCTTAGGTTGATAGGGAAGGAACCCAGGTCTCCCCACTAAGCACAGGCTTTGCTGGTCATACCCCAGCTTGGCCGCTGGTTGAGGGGTGACCAGAAGTGTTCCAGCTCCTTCTGAAGTCTCAATCTATCTACACACCTTGTCATGCCACCTTGCTGAATATGGACCTCGGAGGCCCCAGGCTTCTAGAAGAGCAAACAGTTTCTTCCCAGCTAGTGAAGATGGCGGGTCTCCACTGTGAAGACGGATGGACCCAGAACGGAAGACTCAAGGGTCCACTTGGCCCTTTTTCTGGGTATCCAGGGTTTGTTCAGATCACAGCCAGGCTCATGGTCAAGGACGGAAAGGTGTTAGTTCACAGAAAGGGGTTTCTGGGCAAGAGTAAGGTGTACAGCATGCGGTGGGGCTTCTCCGTCAGGCCCCTCCCCCTGCCCTTGAACCTATCAGCACACACTGAACACTGAAGGCACCTGGCCTTGGTACTTCTCCTGGGCTGTCTTGAGGATGGGCACAAGGTTCTGAAAGGTGGGCCGGAAGGAGGCCTCGGACTCCCAGCAGTTCTTCATGAGGAGATAGATCTGGGGAGAAACGGGTCTGTGGGACTATTCACCCTGCGTCACGAGGGTGGGACAGGCACAGCAGAAGGTGGACTCACCTCACAGGGACATCTGTCAGGCCGAGGCAGCCTCTCTCCTCGTTCCAGCAACTCTGTGAGCCTCAGCACGGTCATCTGGCCCTGGGTGACTCCGATGAGCTCGATGAATTTCTAAGGCACGATTGACAGCGGCTATTTGCACATGCCGGGAACCCATGGCTCACGTTTCTCAGTTGTGTGCCTGTGTGTATCTGTGTGCATGTACATGTACATGGAGGCCACACAGGCAACAGGAGGAGGCCAGAGGACGTTAGTCTGGTGGCCAACATGCCCGAGAACTGTCTCTGCCTTCCACAGTCTTGGGGTTATATGTTACATACTCGTACAGCCATGCCCAGACCCCCATTTCATGTGGGTGCATTCATATCTGCATGTGTGGGGCACATGTGTGTGAGGTATGTGCCCTAGAATATACATTAATATGGAGACTGGAGGTTGAAGTCAGGAATCATTACGATAGAGCTCATCTTCCACCTTATCCACTGAGGCCGGGTCTCTAGGAGACACAGCTCTGACGGTCTGACGAGGCATTGTGCTCTAGATCCCATCTCTGCTTTCCCAGGGTGAATTTAAAGCTGGGCCACCATGCCCACCTGACATCTGGGGACCCAAACTTCTGTGCTCACACTTGCAAGGTAAGTGCTTACCTACTGAGTCTTCCCGGCTCTCAGACTCTTTCAAGACAGGCTCTGAGGTATCCCAGGCTAGCCTTGAACTCCTAGATCCTGCTACTTCCATTTCCAGTGCTGGGATGGCAGGCATGCCCACCATGCCCATTATATGCTGGCCTGGGGGAACCTAGAGCTTCATTCATGCCAGGCCAGTGCTCCACCAACTGAGTCACAGTTCCAGCCCCCTTAAAATAGATTTCTTGAGACAAGGTCTTGCTGTGTAGTACAGGCTGGTCTTTACATCTAGGCACATGGATCTTTCTGCCCTGACCTCAGAGGGGAAATGCTATCTAATATTCTCTTGGCTTCTCCCTAGCTCACAGCTACCCAATCACTGTGGTCCACAGCTCTTCAGTGATTATACAGACACATGAACTAATTGGGTCCATCAGAAAAAGTCACAGAAATTTAGAGCAGAAAGACAAGATCCCTTGCCGGGTGGTGGCACACGCCTTTAATCCCAGCACTCGAGAGGCAGAGGCAGGAGGATCTCTGTGAGGTTGAGACAGCCTGGTCTACAGAGCCAGTGCCAGAAGAGGTTCCAAAGCTACACAGAGAAACTCTGTCTCGAAAAACAAAACAAGAAAAAAGAAAGAAAGAAAACAAGGAAGGAGGAAAGAGAAAGAGAGAAAGAAAAAACAAGGGCTGGTGAGAAGGCCGAGCTGACAAAGGTGTTTGCTGCTGAGTCCATCCCCGAGTCATCCCTGAGGACCGTGCAGTGGGAGACTAAACTCCTGCAAGTTGTCCTCTGACCTCAGACAGCTCTTAGCGACGGTAGACCTTCAAGATCTGCCCACGGGGGACAGCAGCCTGCATGGACCTCTTCAGTCTTTCCACCAAGTGTCTGAATAAAGTGTTTTGACCCCCCCCAAAAAAAAAAGAAAAAAGAAAGAAACTCTGGGCAAATGGCCTTGGTGTCTATTTGCCTACCAAAGCGCACGCTGCCTTCCAGGCTCTGCCACCACACGGTAAATAGGTGGGAAAGAACCATGCAGACTCCACGGAGACAAAACAGCTCCCCACACTGCGAGGCCGCACCTTTGCGGATCAGGTTAGGCAGACAGTAGTGGAGAGCCTGCCAGTGTTGAAGGGCTGAGCTCTAACGGCCTGCTTTTCTAGAAAAGCCCCTAGCAAACACCAGCCTAGAGTGAACTAGTTGTGCTCACCGTGGGGGGGCTCTGTCCAGAGTCACAGTACGTCAACAGCTCATACAAGGTCACCCCGAAGGACCAGACATCTGATGCATAGTAAAATTTGCACTCCTTCAGGCATTCCGGGGCATACCTGGAGACGGAGGTAGCTTAGGAACAGCAGGCTGGACTTGCAGTTCACATCCAGTCAAAGGACCCCTGAGATTCCAGTTGGGACCTCACCCTTCAGGGCACAGTCTGAGGGGTTTCAGATTTACTAAACCAGACCAAACTGGACTATGGGGATTTAACCCTGCCTGGTCCGTCCCTAGGCCCCTCCCAGCTTCCCTGTGCAGCCCAGCATTTCCTCCACCCCGCCCCCCTCAGACTGTGTCCACTCCTGGTCACCAGAACACAGGGCTGTCCCCGTCCTCGCGCACGCGGTAGTACTCGTGGCCTTCAGGCACTGCCTTGGCTAGGCCAAAGTCTCCAATCTTGACCAGCCTGTCGTTGTCCAGAAACACGTTGCGCGCGGCTAGGTCTCGGTGAATGTAGCGCTGCCCGTGCAGGTAGGCCATGCCCTGGGGTGGGGCAGGGCGAGTCAGGCTCAGCCCAGGCCTGAGCAAGCAAAAGAAGGAGCCAGAACAAGGTTTGGGGCCAGGCCAGCAAAGCCAGACAGAAGGGTGCTGTGAGGGGCGGGGTCAAGCAAAGGTGGGTGGGTCTAGGAGTGAGCCAACCTCTACTAGGAGTGGGGTTTCCAGGGGCAAACTAGGCTGGAGGGCGACTAAAAAGAGGCGGGGCTTGGTGGGCCGGGCCAAGTGGAGCGGGATGGTCTAGGATATTCAAACCTCTACAGGGTTTGGGATAGGAATTGCCTGGCAAGGGTGAGCTGCGGAGTTAGTGGGAGGAGCCAAGAAAAGGTGGGTGGGTCCAGTCATAAGACACTAGAGATTAGGGGTGAGGTTTGTGGGAGTGTGGCCAGGTGACCTGGACACAAAAAAGGGAAAGGAGTCCAGTCCATGGACAAAAGCACGGATAGGGACAGACCCCTTCAGGATCGGCAGAAGCAGAGGTGTTCAGCTCTGGAAGGAGGGGCGGGGCCATCACACCTCGCAGATCTGCTGCGCGAATAACAGGAGCTGTGCCAGCCCAACACTGTGCCGTGGCAGGTAGTCCCGGAGGCTGCCGAGGGGAACGTACTCCATGACCAGCTGTACAGACTTCTCTCCTGTCAGGAAGAGACCACAGGGGACAGACGTTGGAGGAGAGTTGGAGTTCCTGTATCCTGGAGCTCCGAACACTGTGCAGATCGGTCCCCGGGAGGAGACAAGACCAAGACCCGTGTGCACTGAGACAGGTCCATGGACGCGATGGACCCATGTAAAACCCTGTTCCTGGGCCGGGCGTTGGTGGCGCACGCCTTTAATCCCAGCACTCGGGAGGCAGAGGCAGGTGGATCTCTCTGAGTTTGAGGCCAGCCTGGTCTACCGAGCAAGTTCCAGGACAGCTTCCAAAACAACACAGCGAAACCCTGTCTTGAAAACAAACAAACAAACAAACAAAAAAAAAAAAACAAAAAACCCTGTTCCTGTGCTGGGGAGATGGGGGAGCTACTGTTCATCCTGGCCCCGGTAGGCAACACCCCCGGCTGAGAAGGCTGCCCTGCCACACCCCCTATGCGGCCAGGAGGGTTAGGCCCCGCACCACACCCCATGGCCCGGCACACCTTGGTCCTCACAGCAGCCTTTGTACTTGACAATGTGTTCATGGTACAGGGTCCGTAGGATTTCGATCTCCCGCTGCCAGCCTGAGCGGAGCTGGGGGCCACATCCCTCCTTAAGGGCTTTCACAGCCACCATCTCGCCAGTGCCATCATTGGTTGGATCATAGCAGTACAGGCTGACCTTGCCAAAATGACCCTGGCAGAAGTGAGCAGAAGAGTCAGAATCAGGCAGAAGACGGTCTTCTTCCAAACCTGAGAAATCTGCCCATCTCCAGCTCTCAAAACTATATATATATTTTTTTTCTTTTTTGAGACAATCACACGGTGGAGTGCAGGATGGTCTGGAACTTGATACACAGACCAGGCTGGCCTCAAACTCAGAGATCTGCCTACCTCTGCCTCCTGGCAGTTAGTATTAAAGGCGTGCCTATCATGACTGGCCCTCAAAACTATTCTTTTTTTTTTTTTTTTTTTTTTTTGGTTTTTCGAGACAGGGTTTCTCTGTGGCTTTGGAGGCTGTCCTGGAACTCACTTTGTAGACAAGGCTAGCCTCAAACTCACAGAGATCCACCTGCCTCTGCCTCCCGAGTGCTGGGATTAAAGGCGTGCGCCACCACCCCCTGGCTAAAACTATTCTTTTTTAAAATGTTTATTTATTATGCATACAGTGTTCTGGCAGAAGAGGGAACCAGATCCCACCATAGATGACCGTAAGCCACCATGTGATTGCTAGGAATTGAACTCAGGACCTCTGGAAGAACAACTAGTGCTCTTAAGCTCTGAGCCATCTCTCCAGCCCCCCTCAAAACTATTCTTAAACAAGACTTCCTCAGATACATTCCAGCTCTCCAGGCTCCACCCCGGCATCTCTAACCTACCCCCCAGTCATCCATTCCCACCTCAATTCTCCAGTCAAGCCCTCACCTCGCCCAAATCCCGGATCTTTTTCAAATAACGCTTGTGGAAAACAGTGGGGTCTGATGCTGTTGAGTCTGCGTTCACAGCTGAGACACCCACTAGATCTGAAAGAACCGAGGTCTTCAGTTAGCCGATGGTCTTTCCCCAAACAGTGTCACATGACTGGTCCCTGCTCCCCGGCACAGCCTTAGGTGAATCAGAGACTACCATGCACCAGGCCCCAGTACAGACTTTGGCTATGCCCCCAGCCCCCAGGGCCCTGGCTCACTCTGTGGCTGCAGCCTAGTGAGGTCCCGCAAAATGGTGCGGAATGATGGCCGCTGTGCTGGTTCGTAGGTCAGGCACTGGCGGGTGAGTGTGGCCAGCTCCGGGCATGAGGGCTGAGGCAGCTGGTGCTGCTTTGTGTAGAATCGTTCTTTCTGTGGGAGTGATGACTCCAGAGAGTGAGCCCCCCATTCTACCCACATCTTCCCCAAAAGGCACAGCCAAGCAGCATGGCTGGCTTAGGCTAGCACCTGGTCTTTTTATATCCATTTTACAGAGAAGGTAGCTGAAGCCTGGTAACGACTACAGAGTCAGGGATTAGAACCAAGTCCAGTTGGCTCTGCAGAATTGGAGCAGGTCTACCAAGCACCCTGGCTTCCTTGTCTTTCCTCCCTGCCCTCAGCTCCGCTTCTTCAACGTCCCTGGGCCTTTGCAAAAGGGGAAACCCTTTGGGCCACTCAGATGGACCAGGGAACCTTCAGAGTCCCTAGAAACCCTTACATACCTCTGAGGGACAACGACCCTGCAGGGGTGCCTCCCCATCAAAGCAGATCTCAAGGAGGGTGGCACCAAAGCCCCACATGTCCGTGGCAGTACCCAAGCTACTGGCCTCTCCAGATAGGCACTCAGGAGCTGTCCAGGGGATGCGTTCCACTCGCTCTGGAGAGAACGGGTCACATATCAGGAAGGGTGGCAAGGACAGGGGAACGCCATCCTGTGCCCAGCCCCACTCCAGAACTCACCCTCCCTGGACAGGGCACCTTGGCCCACACCAGGATCACTTAGCTTGATGAAGGGGCTGGTACCCTCCTCCAGCCCCAGCCGGGCCAGCAGGATGTTCCGGCCACATACGTTTCCATGAACCAGATTCTTATCTTCCTGGGTGGCAGAGGAGGAAAAAGTCCATGACTCCTAGGGGTGAGCCCAGTTCCACACACCACCCGATCCCATGAGGCTCCTCCTCACAGTGATAACGTGAAAATAATAACTCTCAAACTATTGGGATAACAACACCATGTTATCAGGGCTAGCAACACTGGGAGTTGAGTGGGTAGCCAAGGTTCTGGCCAGGAACAAAAAATACAAAGACACCACTGAGTCCCCAAACATCCTGCCCCAAGCTCTTTGCACAGACTGTTCCCCCCCCACACCCCAAAAAACCACCTTCCCAAGATTTCCTCACAGCAACTTTCCTCTCCTCTGTCAGATGAGGCGGTCCCAGTCTATCTGTTTCAATTTCTCCTCATTGCTAAGTTCTACCTGTGCCTTACCTCTTCACCTCATCTGGCCCTCAGCTCTTTCTGTACTGTGTGTATTATGTACTCCTGTGGGCATATGCCTGTGGAGGTCAGGGACGGATGCCAGGTGATGCCTTCAATTACACCTCACCTTATTCATTGAGACAGGGTCTCACCAAATCTGGAGCCCACAGATTGGGTAACCCAGCAGGCCATGGGATCTAGGGACCTCCTGTCATTGCCTCCCCAGTTCTAGGGCTACAGACATCTGGCTTTTCGTGTGGGTGCTAGGGATATGAACTCAAGTCTTCATGGCAGTACAGCAAGCATTTAGCACTGTCTCCCCAGAGCCCCCTGCTCAGTTCTCACTGCTCCTTATATGTTATGTAAATAACTTAAGTAAAGTTAGCCTCTCTAAACACAGGTCATCTTCAGACTCAGTCATGATCAAAACTGAAGTTAGCGGCCAGGTGGTGGCAGCACACACCTTTAATCCCAGCACTCGGGAGGCAGAGGCAGGTGAGTCTCTGTGAGTTGGAGGTCAGCCTGGTCTACAGAGAGAGTTCCAGGAAGGCCAGGACTGTTACACAGAGAAACCCTATCTTGAAAAAAAAAAAAACCTTGAAGTTATATGTCAGGCATGGTAATGTAAGCCTGTTATCTCATCTCAAGAGGCAGATGATTAGAGTTCAAAGCCAGTCTTGGTTATATAATGCATTTGAGATCAGCCTGTGCTACGTGAGACCACCTTGGCAGCATGTGTTTGTAATCTGGTGCTGTGGAGTTGGAGACGGGAGCACACTGGTGCTCACTCACTAGTCAGTGTAATTCTATGGGCAAGTTCTGAGTTTGCTGAGAGTCCCTGCCTCAAAAAATAAGGACAGCAACTGGGAAGACATCTCGGCTCTGGCCTAGGCATCTGCGCTCACGCATGCACGCGCGCGCGTGCGCGCGCGCGTGCGCGCGCGCACACACACACAGACACATGCGCACACTTGCGCACACACGCACACACTTGCGCACGCACGCACGCATGCGCACACACGCACACACTCACTACTTAGCAGAGGATGCCCCTGACTCCAGATCTGCCTGCTTCCACCTCCCCAGTACTGAGACTGCAAGCATATATCACAGCGTTTACACAGAGCTAGGCCCGGAACCCAGCACTTTGTCCATGTCAGACAAGTGCTACCAACTGAGCTACAGACTCAGCCCCTTTTCTCTTATGTATGTGCATTGGTGTTGAATGTTTGTCTGATCTTGGAGTTACGGACAGTTGTGAGTTGCCATGTGAGTGCTGGGAATTGAACCTGGGTTCTCTAGAAGAACAATCAGTGCTCTTAACCTTTGACCCATCTCTCCAGCCCTTTTTTGTTTGTTTTTGTTTTTTGAGACAGAGTTTCTCTGTGTAGCTTTGGAGCCTCTTCTGGCACTGGCTCTGTAGACCAGGCTGGCCTTGAACTCACAGAGATCTGCCTGCCTCTGCCTCCCAAGCGCTGGGATTAAAGGTGTGCGCCACCACTGCCTGGCCCAGCCCCCTTTTCAATGCTTTCAATAGGGTATTATATAGCCCACAGTAGCCTCAAACTCATTAGATAGCTGAGAATAACTACATTCCAGATCCTCCTGCCTCAGTTCATGCATGCTGTGATGGCAGGTACCCGGCTTCACTGTACCCCATTTTCTACAGGAGACTTGACACCCACAGATATGGGATCTTGAATGATATTTCAAGGTACCAAAGAATGATTAAACACACGAGGGAGCAGACCTGAGAACAGTAGAATCAGAAGAGCAATGGCTGGGGCTATTAGAGGCCAGGCATGCAGACAATGCGGCAGGAGTCACAGTTCAGAACTACAGCTGAGTGTGGCCTCCCGTTCTGACACCCACGCTGCACACCCTCAGGTCCACATACCAGGTAGCTGAGGGCACTGGCCAGCTGCTGAGCCACAACCATCTTCCAGGTCATGGGCACTCGCCCCCTCTGTCTCCGTAACCACACATCCAGGGGACCATGTTCCACAAACTCTGTCACAATGATATCTGCAAAGATACAGCTGCTAGAGGGGCAGCCACCGGCCTCTGCCTCCAGGGACCAGGACAGGTGGTAGGGCTGCATGGAGTCTGGATGGGGGAGTACCGTAAGGACAGAGAGGGGAGCAGGGCAGAGGTAGAATGGGAGTCTACACATGGTACAAGTGTCGAGCAGAGGAAAGAGGGAGTGCGGGGGGGGGGCAGCAGAGGTGACATCAAAACAGAGCAGTGGGCCAGGCACAGGCTGGAAAGCAGAATGGGGACACACAGGAGCACCTCAGGGTCGCCACGGGGTCAACCTGTGCAGAAAGCTTGGAGGGACAGGCAGGGAAGGGACAGAGGTGTCTGAGCAGGGCAGAAACACGGGTGACTGAGATCACAACAGGGCTGGCATCTGCCTGGGGCCGCTGTGCTGAAGGGCTTTGAGTATGTATGATGACTGCAAAACGAATTATGGGAAGAATCGGACAGAGCCAGACATCAGAGTCTGGGTCAAAGAGACAGGGCAGAGCAGGTATAGCAAAGAAAGGGTCAGGGGAAGGGGGGTCAAAGTCCAGTACAGCATTCGGAGGGCTGCTATATGGTGAGGAGTAGGCACTGTCTGATCTTAGGACTACAGGAGAGATTGAGGATCAAGGGGTTTGGGGGATTCTGCCTAGAATCCCCCATTGAGGACCTGTAGGTATGACTCCATGATAGAGGCCCTGCTCCGAAGACTATAGTGAGGAGCTGGGAGCATCACTCAGGGGTAGTGTTTGCCCACATGCTGATAGCTGAGTTCCATCTCCAGTACCCCCCCCAAAAAAAGAATGGCGAGCCAGGACACACACCAGGGAGAGGGTACAGAAGGGTGGCACGCAAACCCAGGTGGGTGTTAGGGTGCACTTACTCTCTGAGCCACGCACACAGACACCATGCAGGAAAGCCAGGTGCATGTGTGATACCTGACTCATGAGGCTAGCTGTTTCGTAGAAGGCCTGTGGGGATGGGGACAGGACAGGTCAGGCTCCTGAAAACCCACCCAGTCCCTCCCCATCTTCTCCAGACTCCCCAGGGCCAGCCTTGCACACTTACCAAGGCAATGTCATGGTGACTGGGGTCCAGGACTTTAAGCACCACTCGAAGCTGCTGCCCAGTGCCTCCACCAGGTTCAGGGGGACATCCACTGTCCACTTTGCCTTCGTCAGGGCCTCCCACTCTTAGAAGGCCCTCATAAACATTGGTCCTTGTGCCTTGACCCAAGTGGGACAGCTGTAGAAATAGTACTGAGTGCAGCAGGGCTGGCTGCCCGGTGACACCCCCTCTGTCCCCTCCCCTCCCCCCTCGCCCCATCCCCCCCCCACATGCCCTGCCAAGAACACCCACCTGTGTGATTTCATCCTGGTGAACCCTGTGGAAGCTGAGCTGGCTGAGGTTAAGAGGCCGGGTGTGGGCACTAGACCCCCGCATGACCATGAGGTTGGAGATTTCTAGGCACAGGAGTGGACATTGTCCTCGTGGGCTGGCTTCAGGGCACACGGTGCCATCCCTACCTGGAGTGTCTCACTATCCTACTCACCTCCTGGCCGGGGCAGGCAGCAATGGTGCAAGGGGAAACAGTCGTCCCCAGCCCGTAGAGAGCAGCCCTGCAAGGCGACTCGAAGGTCCCCCACGCTGTCAAAGGAGCGGCCCCAGCCGTCCAGCACAAAGGATCCAGGCTGCTGGGTGATGGGGAACTTTCGGAGGCGCAGGCCCTTAGGGCCACTGCTGGGAGCCTGGTGAGGCGGGAAGTTGTGGTAAGCAGGGGTTGGGCTATGAAGGGTGCAGCTCCCTACCCCTCCACCCCGGCTCCAGACCCACTGGGTTTCGATGGGCCACAGTGAGGATCAGGCGGTGAAGGTGGCTGGTACTCCACTGGATCAGGTAGAGGCCGTCCTCCGGCCACAGCTTGGCCTGCACAAATGGATCCCTGGGAGAGTAAGAGAAAGGGGACACCATCAGTCTCTTGTAGTGGGATCCATGCCAGGTGGGGTCCTCAGGAGACATGCCCAGAGATACACACACCAACCAGACACAAGGCCGAAAAAGGAGGTTGTGGTAGTATACACCTGTAATTCTAGTTCTCGGGAAGTCCAGCTCACAGGATCACTGAAAGTTCAAGTCCAGCCTGGGCTACATAGTATGACGATGTCTCAAAAGAAAGTAGAAGGAATGGGAACCTTGGGACATCAGGGTGCAGATCCCTAGCACCCATGTGGGAATCTGGGAGTGGTAGAATGTACCTGTAATCCTACGCCTGAGGCTAGAGCTCAGCTAGTCTAGCCAATCAGTGAACTCCTGTCTCAGTGAGAGACCCTGCCTCAAAAACTAAGGTGTAGGGACTATAGAGACCAGTGGTAAGCAGTGCTTGCTGTTCCTGTAGAGGACCATAGGTCAATTCTTAGCGCCCACACCTCACACCACCTATACACACACGTGACATATACTCACAGGGATACACACACGTGACATATACTCACAGGGATACACACACACACGTGACATATACTCACAGGGATACAAACACAGGTGACATATACTCACAGGGATACACATACATATGAAAAGTAAAAAATCAACCACAGAGAGCAACCAAGGAAGACACTCAAGGCTAACCTCCAGCGGCCTTGCACGCACACAGTCATATATATAAAACCTTCAGAGAGAGCAGGCATTGGTGGCGCACGCCTTTACTCCCAGAGCTTGTGAGACAGAGGCAGGTGGATCTCTGTGAGTTTGAGACCAGCCTGGTCTACTGAGCGAGTTCCAGGACAGCCTCCAAAGCTACAGAGAAACCCTGTCTCCAAAAAAAAACAAAAAACAAAAACAAAAGAAACAAGCAAACAAAAAGCCTTCAGAGAGCCTGTAAGGCTCAGGAGATGAAGGCACTTGCTACAAGCCTGATGACCTGAGTTCAACATCCAGGACCCACAGGAAGAAGGAGAGAACTGACTCCTGCAGGCTGCCCTCTGACCTCCCACATACACTATGGCATGTCCTCCCCACAAATAAATGAATGTGTAAAAAATCTCAGAACTACTGATAGTATGTCCACATATACACATGACCACTGACAGAGAGACATGGAAGAACAGTCACGTGACTAACATCTAACACAGTCACTGACAATGTGACAGATGCTGAGACAGGAAAAGGCTGTCCTGTCACATGGGTCACACCCAGATATAGCCACAAAGGGACTTCAAGTAGAGAGACAGTCACATGCAGTCGATCACCCTGAGTCACAGGGCCATGGGGGACACCATTTCCATGTGTTCCTCTGAGGCTCCTGTCAGGTCTTACACCCAATTACAAGGTGTCAGATATGACGGACTGGAGAGATGCTCAGAGGTTAAGAATACTTGCTGCTCTTGCAGAGGACCCAGGTTCAATTCCCACACCCAGAAGGGGCTCACAACTGTCCTATAACTCCCAGCCATTGTGGGCAGATATGCACATGGTGCAGACATATATGCAGGTAAAAAACCAAACCAACCAAACAAAAAACATACACATAAAATTTAATTACAAAAAAAACGTTAAAAAAAAAGTAGACGCCGGGCGGTGGTGACGCATGCCTTTAATCCCAGCACTCGGGAGGCAGAGGCAGGTGGATCTCTGTGAGTTCGAGGCTGGGCTGGACCGACAGCCTCCAAAACAATACAGAGAAACCCTGTCTCGTAAAAACCAAAAAAAAAAAAAAAGTAGACATAAATCAAGTGTGGCAACACATGCCCCTAGGCCAGCACTGGAGGTGGAGACTGGAAGATGGGGAGTTCAAGGTCACCCTCAGCTACACAGAATTCAAGCCTAGTCTGCACTAAGTCTCAGAAAACACAAGGGGCCAGTGAGATGACTCGGGGTACAGGTGCTAGCTGCCCAGCCTGACAACCTGAATTCCATCCCCAACACCAAGATGGTGGAGAGAACGACCCCGGTAGGTTGTCCTGAGACCACTACTCGAGTGCTAGAGTGCTGGAGCGCACCGCCACACCCAGTTCAAGCAGTGCTGGGGACTGAGCCAAGGGCTGCGTACACTAGCAAGTATTACAGCTCGCTACAGCTGAGCTATAGCCACAGACCAGACTTCCTTTTTCACTGTGTCTGCGCACGTGTGAGTGTGGGTGTGCTCGCCACTGTACGCATGTCAGAGGGCAACAAGTCCTCTCCCTCTGCCTTGTCAGACGCAGGGATCTGCTGCTGGCCACACATGCCAGGTAGCAGAGTCTCCAGAGACTCGTCTTTCCCTACCGTGTCACTGCATGCTGGAATCCCACACACTAGCTACGTGAGTCTTCTAGGGGACAAGCTCAGATCCTCACAATAGAAGGCAGGCACTTTATCCTGAGTCATTTCCCCAGTCCCCTAAACATTTCTTTACAATTTAATTTTGAAGGCTGGAGAGATGGCTCAGATGTTAAAGGGCTTAGGGCTCTTCAGGAGGACCCAAGTTCAGTTCTTAGCACCCACATGGGTGGCTCACAAGCATCTGTAATACCAGCTCTGGGAGAATCCGATGCCCCTGGTCTCTGGGGCATCTGCACTTAAGGTCACAAACATACACACACACATAATTTAAATAGTAAAAAATAAGTCTTAAGCTGGGCAGTGGTGGCGCACGCCTCTACTCCCAGCACTTGGGAGGCAAAGGCAAGCAGATCTCTGTGAGTTCGAGGCCAGCCTGATCTACAGAGTGAGTTCCAGGACAGCCAAGGCTACATAGAGAAATTGTCTCAAAAAACAAACATAAAATGAGATTTAATTTTGAGATAAGGTCTCACTATGTAGCCTAAGATGACCTGCTTTGATTAAGTTGTACATCACCCCAGCTAACCTCTTTTCTTCTTAAGTATCCAGACTAAGGTATTATAGTAACAAAAAATGAACTAGTATAAGGGCCTTGACATCCTAGAAGTGGCAATAGCAACAACAAAAAGTGGGGACTAAAAGAAGTCACACACAGAGGCCAGACAGACACGAGCATGGTGGCACACTGATAGCCACAGCTAACTAACTGGGCTGGGGGCGGCACCCAGGGTAATGGTGGGCGAACGAACACACGCTAGTTATAATGCATGAATCTGGGCCAGGCGTTGGTGGCACATGCCTTTAATCCCAGCACTCGGGAGGCAGAGGCAGGAGGATCTCTGTGAGTTCGAGACCAGCCTGGACTACCAAGCGAGTTCCAGGACAGCCTCCAAAGTCACAAAGAAACCCTGTCGAAAAAAACCAAAAAAATAAAAAATAAAAATAAAAAGAAGAATGCATGAATCTGCTTCCAGCAGTGCCAGCCCCTGCCACCCTCAGCCCACCTTCACTCACATCAGGGGCCCATGGATGCCGTTCTGGATGCTAGTCAACAGCCTCGGGGGGGCCACCTCATGGCACAGGTAGTGGCTGGAGTCAGCAGTCAAGCGGAAATAGCCATCCACCAGGGCCACAAAGGACAGGGCCTCAGCCCGGGAACACAGGCACAGCAACTGCAATTCAGGGAGCATGGTCAGGGAGCTGGCGGGACAGCCCGTACCCGCTCTGCCAGCCTGCTGCCCAGGGCCCCACCAAGCACTTGTTGTCCTGAAGGTGGATGCGCACGCGACACTCCTCCAGCACCACGTGGGAAATGTCCTGGAAGTCACAGAAGTAGGTCCAGGGTGGGTCCCCAGGGCTCTTGGTCAGCTGTTCGCCAGCCTCAGGGGTCTTCGCTTTCTTCCCAGACCGGTTGCCTTGGAGATTCCCTCTGCTGCTACCTCTCTCAGATTCCTAAAAACCAAGCCAAGGTATCAGGTGGAGGGCAGGGGACAGAGCAGGATGAGGATGGTTTAATGTTCCCTCAAAGGACAGAAGGAAACTGGGCTCAAGCTTCTAACTCCAAAAGTCAGAAAGCTGGAGAAGATCAACATGAGTTCAGGTCCAGCCTGGGCTACACGGCTGTGCTTTGGTCAGCTGGAATTACAGCACAGAATAAGACCCTAACTCAAAAAATAAAAGTAAGTTGAGCAGTGGTGGCGCACACCTTTAATTCCAGCACTCGGGAGGCAGAGGCAGTCGGATCTCTGTGAGTTTGGGGCCAGCCTGGTCTACAGAGCTAGTTCTAGGACAGCCATGGCTACACAGAGAACCTGTTTCAAAAAACCCAAATGGGGCAGGGTCTCATGTAGCCAGGTGGTAGCAGCATACACCTTGACCAGCATGGTCTACAAGAGCTAGTTCAGGACAGCCTTCAAAGCCACAGAGAAACCCTGTCTCGAACTCCAACCCCTCCCCCACAAAAACCTCAAGGGCCAGAGAGATGGCTCAGCAGGTAAAGGTATCTGCCTCCAGAGTCTGATGAGCTGATACCCAGAGACCCCCTGGTGGAAGGAGAGAGACCAGCTTCCCCAGCTGCTGTCCGCCATCCCCATGCATACCCAGCACACCGCTGTCCATCTCCTACAAGTAAATGGAAGGGGGACCAAAGGGAGGATCAAAGCCTGGGGACGACAGGGCTTACTTGAGCCACCTTGAGGAGCTCACAGCTAAGGTGAGTGCTCACCTGGATCTGAAGTGGATGCCACTGGATACCTCCGGTGCCTGTCACCAGTACCTCGTGGGTGGGAAGCCTGGTGGTCAGCTCTGGGTCTGGGTCCCCAGTAGTCTGCCCACTGTTCTGGATGTAGCATGGATCTCTTTCAGGCTGGTCCAGTACCTCCAGATGACATACCCGTATATGCTCTGAGCCAAATCGAGGAGCCAGCCGCTCCAGTGTAGCCAAGTACTTAACCATCACAACCTGCTGGGAGAGGTGGTCAGGCTGGAAGGCCCTCAAGAATCGCCGGAAGACTCTGCGGAGACGCAGGCGCGTGAGCGCATTGTGCTGGCTGATGTGCTGGCGGAATGAACGAGGGATGCATTTCTTAAAGCTGCAAAGGACAGGGGACATGTCAGAGCCAGGGTAGCCAGACAGACTGGGTGACACAGGGTTAGCTGCTTAACCTCTCTGCTGCCTAATGTAGATAACAAGACCTATGTAATGAACTCGGGAATAAAGAACCCAATCCATAGTACTGTGGCTTCTGCCCTTAATATCAGCATTAATCCCAGCGAAACTCTGTCTCCAAAAAATTTTTATCCTCGTGTGTGTGTGTGTGTGTGTGTGTGTGTGTGTGTGTGTGTGTGTGTGTGTGTGTGTGTTTTCCCACAATGGTCAGAAGAGGGTGTCGGATCCCTTGGAACCAGAGTTGCAGTGGGCACTGGGAGCTGCATCAGGTGCCCTGTAAGAGCAGCCAGTGCTCATTAGCACTCCGTCACCTTTCCTACCTCATACCTTAGTTTTTCTGTTACATAATTTAGCCCAGGCTGACCTCACACTTGAAGTAACCTTCCTGGATCTACCTCCAGAATTATAGGTGCATGCCACCACATGTAGCCCTGATTTTATGTTTTGGGGCAGGGTCTCATGTAGCCCTGACTTGCCTTGAACTCTAGGTAGGTGACACTGACCTTGAACTCCTGATCTCCCTGCCTCTACCTCCCATGTGTTGGTCAGGTCAGACCAACTACTATTAGCTAATTCGTATTAGCTAATTACACTGTAGCTGAGGCTAGCCTAGAACTTGTAATTCTCCTGTCTCAGCACACTGGTTGCTGTGACTACAGGTCTATGTCGAATTCCTGGCCAGAGACAGAGCCTTCTGAGCTTCTAGAAGCTGCCAAGAACTCGATATTTGAACATTATAGAGCCTTCCAGAAGTCTGTATCCTGCACCCACAAGGAACCTCACTTCTGTAAGCTGGGCTTTTATAGGATTCTTTCTTTTTGAGACAAGAGTCTCTATGTAGCCCTGGCTATCCTAGAACCCATTTTGTAGATCAGGCTGGCCTCAAACTCACAGAGATCCCCTGGCCTCTGCTTCCTGAGGGCTGGGATTAAATGTATGTGCCACTACACTCAGCTTGAAATAATGTTTTTAAAAAACAGAGTAGCCAGTCAGTGGTGGCACACACTGAGTCAGTTCCAGGACAGCCTCCAAAACAATAAGGAGAAACCCTGTCTAGAACCCCCCCCCCAAAAAAAACAAAACCTAACAAACAAAAACAGAGTAGGCTGGGCAGTAGTGGCACTCTACGCAGAGAAACCCTACCTCCAGGGGGACAAGCAAATAATTAATGTGAGCTCTGACCCCATCCTTCCTACTCAGTTTTTCTACATTTCACATCCTTGGGTTTTGTTGCTGTTAAGACTCTATATTATTTTTTAATGTGCATGCTGTGTGTGGGTGTGGGCCAGGGAAAGCCAGAGAGGGGTCTGGAGTCCCTTGGGCTGGAGTTATGGGCAGTTGTGAGTTGCCCAACAGAAGTGCCTAGGACTGAACTCAGGTCCCCTGTAGAGTCCTATTTGCTGAGTTGTGACAGCCCCAGGGTTTGCATTTCCTTTATACCTAATCTGTTTACAAGGTGTCAGCTCCCGGGGGTGTGAGTACACAGTAGGTGATCAATAAGTGTTTGCTGGATGGATGAAGGCAACATGAAAGGCCCACCCTGGTACCCCTGGGAATGGGGAATTTTACCCACTTACTCCTGGTTCCCACTCCATTTCCAGTCACCTGATCTCTCTGGCCATCTCCTCCAGGGGGACACCACGGCAGAGAGCAAGGTGGCAGAGGTGCAGAAAGGCCATGCCTAAGCTCTCATTCTTAAAGTGGTGGATCTCTTCCTCACTAGACAGGTCCCGCAGAGACACCACGTCGTTCATGAACTCATGTTTTCCCTGAGGGGTAGAGGGATGGACAGAAAAGTGTGTGGGGAGGTTTTTGCTTTATTACAGCCAACAAACTGTAATCCCCTACTTCTAAGAAGCTTGTGGGGAAGGGAGAGACAAGTATTTTCCTAGAAAGACCAAACACAGATTACATACACCACCTCCTTGTGCTCTTGAGACCCTGGCAGACATTACTAATCAAACATAACACTCATTCACCTCAACTTCTTTTGGTAAAGACAGCTAAAAAAATCCCAGCTAGTATGAGCTGAAACGTATGAACTGAAGTGGAGTGGGAAGTGAAAGGGAGTCTGTAACGGTCCCTGTTCCCTGAAATTATCCAGACTCTTCATCCCTGATCACACCTGCTCAAAGAGGTACTCAAACGAGGCCGAGTCCAGGAGCTGCACACCCTGCTCTGCCCGTTCTGAGGACGTCTCTGCCCCTGGGGAACCGTATCGGCATACAGCTGGCTCCTGGGGATTCATGCCATGCCAGTTCCGGAAGTAAAACCTGCAAGAAGGGAGGAGAAGCAGAGCCAGAGAGGAAGCTCAGGAAAGGTCCTTGCCAAGACCCGTATGTGGTCTGAGAGACCATGGCATAGCAGATACACCAAATTTCCCTCCACACCTGTGCTTTTGCACATGGGTACATGGGCGCTCATGAACACACACACACACACACACACACACACACACACACACACGCACACATGCACACACGCACTCGCACACACACATGCACACACGCACTCGCACACACACATGCAAACAAACACACACACACACTCCTTCCAAGAGGCCTTCACTTACCTCATTCGGAAATACAGCCTTAGGTTCACATCTCGGGCTGTGTCTAGGGCGTGGTTTGGGGGCAGCCAGACCTTGGCCTGTGCATCATAGAGTGCAAAGAGATTCAAGCAGGGTGGGGTGATGCCTGGAACAGGAGAGGGATGAAGTCAGAAGCCATATCACCTACAGACTTAGCTCTCAGGATCCTGCAACCCACTCCTTCCGCATACCCTTACCAGAACACCTCCTCCACCCGTTGTCAAATCAAAACATACAAGGCAGTTCAGTATTTTTTACCATACCAAGGTGTCCCAGAACAATATTTCCCAGATTCCTTTGCAGCTAGGATAGCTTGTGATCCCAGAACTCTTGAGGCTAAGGCAGAACAAAGTTTTATCTGCTACATATAAATTGGAGGCCAGCCTGAGTTACATGAAACCCTGTCTCAAAAACAAAACAGGCATGATGGTACATCCCAGCACTTGGTAGGCAGAGGCAAGTGGATCTCTGTGAGTTCTAGGCCAGCCTGGTCTACAGAGCAAGTTCCAGGACAGCCAGGGCTGCATAGAAAGATGCTGTCTCAACATACAAACAAATAAACAACAAAACAAAGGTTTCAACCTATCAGATAAACACAAATTGCTCCCCAAAGTTACAAGTAACTTCACTACAGGCTTGATAAACAGCTTTTATTTTATTTTATTTTAGTTTTTAGTTTTTAGAGACAGGGTTTCTCTGTGGCTTTGGAGGCTATCCTGGAACTCGCTCTGTAGACCAGCTGGCTTCAAACTCAGAGATCCACCTGCCTCTGCCTCCCAAGTACTGCAATTAAAGATGTGCACCACCACAGCTTAGCTGTGAAACAGCTTTCTAATATGCCAACTGCTTTACTCTCTGGCTTAAGCCTTCCATGGCTCCCTATTATTGTCCATTGAGAAATCCTAAAGCCTTTAGCACTGAGTCACCAGGACCTGGCTTCTGCCTCTGATGCTTGACTTTAATTGCTCTGATGTGAGGCAGGCCTCACAGAGCCCTGTCTTAAAGTCCATATGTAGCTGAGGTTTGCCTTGGATGACAGGGTTGCAGCACTGAGTTGGCTTCAGGGTGCTGGGACGGAAGCGGGGGTTCTGTATGCGCTCAGTAAGCATTCTACCAGCTGAGTGACAGCCTCAGCCCACTTTCAAGTTTTACTTCCTTTTCCCAGTTCTTTGTCTGTTTGTTTTGCTTTGTTTTTTGAGATAGGGTTTCTCTGTGTAACAACACTGGTTGTCATGGATCTCACTCAGTAGACCAGGCTGGCCTGGAACTCACAGAGATCTGCCTGCCTCTGCCTCCCGAATGCTGGTGTTAAAGGTGTGGGCCACCACCTGGCTCCTTTTCCCTGTTCTTAGAAGCAGTACCCCAGTCAGCCTGAAGGTCTTTGGTTCCTCAAACAGGGCAACACCCTGGACCTGTATGGAGGCCATTTTCTCTGTAGAGTTAAGGTCCCATTGCCCCGTCAGCACAACAGAGAGTAAGGCGGTGAGAGATGTCCCGGGCTGCCCACCAGTACATCCCCATGATGGTCTGAACATGTCCTAACATTGAACATGTCCTAACATTGAACATCTTCTAACATTGAACATGTCCTAACATTCACAAGTTGAAATCTTAATCACCAAAAGCACATGTTAATGGAATTTAAGGCAGGCCTTTTGACTCGGGATTAGGACTAAAAGAGGTTATGGGGGAGCAATGATGACATTAGTGACTTTATTTGGGGGCACGGAGGATGGACATTAGAACTTTGCACAGTCGGCAGTTTCCACTGCTGTGCAGCCTAACCCTCACTGGGGGATTCTGGGAAGGGGCTGTAACACTGGGTTACAGTCAGCCCCTCTCCAGGGGTTTTTTTTTAAAGATTTATTTACTTTTATGTGAACTGGTGTTTTGCCTGCATATATGTCTGTGTGAGGGTGTCAGATCCCCTGAACCTGGGGTTACAGACAGTGTGAGCTGCCATGTGGGTCGTGGGATCTGGACCCAGGTCCTCTGGAAGAGTGGTTAGTGCTCTTAACTACTGAGCTGGGGATTTCTAGGCAGGAGCTTACCACTGAGCCTCAGATGTATTTTATGAGACAGGGTCTTCTTTTGTAGCTAGTTTGGCCTGGAGCTTGAGATCCTCGTTCATCAGCTTCCCAAGTTCTGGGATCACAGATACCCCTGGCTCAGCAGTGATTCCTTCCCTGCCCCTCTAGAATAACAGCCCCCACTGGGCCTGACTCGAGCTGGCTTTGTCCAGTGACTGTAAAACACAGCATCAGCCACCCCCACCCGAGGCTCTACACTCACCAACTTTGTTTGCAATGTGGATGCAGGCGTCCTCCGCAGTCAGGGACTCCTGGCTGAAGGTGACCCAGGGCTCCCCGCCCTCTGGCCCAGCCCAGTGCAGCAGCACCATCAATCTTCCTGTAGGCACCAGCGGCTGAGCTTCTGCGCCATGAGCCTTGTTGTCTTTCGGGGCGGCTCTTCGCCGACACAGAGGCATGCTGGTCACCATCCACTGCCGGTTAAGGACAGGCCATCAGCTCCAGGCCACTACCCAGAGTCCTCTTAGCTCCTCAGCCTTCCACTCCCCCAGACATGGGTCTTGCCTTCCCTCAACCTCAGTTTATACACTGTCGGGCACGCTTGCCCTCCTCAGACCGATGTTTTCGGTGATAACAAAGCCATCTTATATTTTTGTTTCATTTCATTCATTTAGATAATTTCATGTAGTCTGGGCTTGCCTCCAACTCACTACTGCACTTTTCCTTAAATATCTGTATGTGTGTGACTGCCCCCATGTGTGGCTGCCCACAGATGACATCAACTCTGTGGAACTGGAGCTACGGACAGTCATGAGCCACTGGATCTGGGAACTGAACTCCAGTTCCCTGGAAAAGTAGCAAGTACTCAACCTCTGACTCTGAACCATCTAACTAGGCCCTATTTGTTTTCTTTTTAAAAACAATTCTCACCGTGCAGTGCTGGCACATGCCTTTAATCCCAGCACTCAGGAGGCAGAGACAGGAGGATCTCTGTGAGTTCCAGACCAGCCTGGTCTATAAGAGCTAGTTCCAGGACAGCCTCCAAAGCTATACTGGGAAACCCTGTCTTGAAAAACCAAAAAAAAAAAAAAAAAAAAAAAAAGCAAAATAAAACCAATTCTCACTTGGGAAACAGAAGCAGGTGGATCTCTGTGTTCAAGACCAGCCTGGTCTATAGGGTGAATTCCAGGGCAACACAGAGAAAGATTGTCTCTAAAACCCAAAAATGAATAAATTAAATAAATACTAACAAATAAAAACAAATAAAGGTGTGTGTCACTTACTACCCAAGAAGTGTTTGTTTAATTTGAAACAAGGTCTCATTAGGCTTTTTTCAGACTGGTTTTCAATCCCTACATTCAAGCAATCCACCTGCCTCAGTCTTCCAAGTAACTGGGACTACAGATGTATATAGTAGTGTCTGCAGACTGAACATGTCTGTCTTGTTTTGGTGTGTAATGAGGTTCCCAAAGTCCATCTACCTAGTTCACGCTGGCCTTGTACTTCAAAGCCTCCTGAGTACCAGAATTGCAAACACGAGTTACCACACCCTGCTTTCTTCCCCAAAAATCTTACAACAGTCTGAACAACCTCTCTGAGGTGCATGCTGAGGGGACCCTCGCCTGCTATCCCAGAATTTCAGAGGGAGACAGGAGGATCAGGAGTTCAAGGCTATCCTCAGATACCTAGGGTGGTGGAGGCCAGCCAGAGATACATAAGACCCTGTCTTAACATAAATAAACAGGGCCTGGGAGATGGCTCAGCAGACAAAGGCACTTGCCACCAAGCCTGGTGACCTGAGATCTATCCCTAGCACCCACATGATGGAGGGAGAGAACTGACTTATTCAAACATGAATGGGACTGGAGAGATGGCTCAGCAGTTAAGAGCACCGGCGGCTCTACTCAATTCCCTGCACCCACATGGCAGCTCATAAGTATCTGTAACTCCAGTTCCAGGAAACCTGACAACTTCACACCAATCCACATAAAATAAAATTTAAAAACAAAACAAAAAAAAACCAGCATAACAGGACTGGAGAGATGGCTCTGTGGTTATGAGCACTGGCTGTTCTTCCAGAGGACCCAGGTTCAATTCTCAACATCTATGGGACAGCTCATAACTGTCTGTGACTCTAGTTCTAGAGGGATCTAACACCTTCACACAGACATGCAGGCAAAAACCAATGCACATAAAGTAAAAATAAAAAAATAAATAACAATAGAAAGCAAATAAAACACCATAACAACTCTAAATAAAAATAAAATAAATTTAAGCCAAGCACCACAGTGTGTGCCTTTAATCCCAGAACTCTGTGAGTTTGAAGCCAGCTAGGTCTAAGTAGCTCCAAGCTAGTCAGGGTTACACAGTGAGATATGGTCTCAATCAATCAGTCAATCAGCCAATCAGTCTCTGCTCTGCACAAAGCTCCCAGAAGGCAGGCAGGCTTGACACGACAGACCTGGTGGTTCGTCTTGGAACTTTCTGTCCGACCTCAGGAAATGCGCTTAACTTCTGTGGTCCTCCACTTCCCTGGGTGAATCAGAGACGCAGAGACCACCGCTGCTATGGAAAGATGTTCCAACCTGGTTCTGCATGGCACAGCAGGAACCTGAATTAGGCACGAAAGGCAACAACAACCACCTGTGACCCAGAGAGACCTCACTGGTGGGGGGGGGGGCATTGGGAGCAGAGCAGCTCCATGCCCAGGACCACCAGAGCAGGGCCCCGCTGTGGGGCCAGTGAGATGGTTCGGCAGGGAAGGGTACTTGTGGGCCAAACTTGCCAACCCCAGGCCCAATCTCTTTACCTCACACAGTGGACCAACTGCTCTGAGTTGTCCTCTGATCTCCAACTGTGCACATACACACACAAACACAAATAAAGACGTGTGACTTAGCCGGGCCTTGGTGGCGCACGCCTTTAATCCCAGCACTCGGGAGGCAGAGGCAGGCGAATCTCTGTGAGTTCGAGGACAGCCTGGTCTACAGAGCGAGTTCCAGGACAGCCTCCAAAGCCACAGAGAAACCCTGTCTCGAAAAACCAAAAAAAAAAAAAACAAAAACAAAAACAAAAACAAACAAAAAAAAGACGTGTGACTTAACTAAATCGTAATGAGCTTCACCATCACGATTTTCCTTTCCGTGTCCTGGATTCACCCTAATAGGTGACAAGGCTGCTTTGACCACCCTTGAGGGGATGCTCACCTGGGTTGCCACATTTCAGGACAAGGTTACACAATTTGAAAAAAAAAAAAACTGCCGGGTGGTGGTGGTGCACACCTTTGATCCCAGCACTTGGGAGGCAGAGGCCAGCCTAGTCTACAAGAGCTAGTTCCAGGACAGCCAGAGCTGTTACACAGAGAAACCCTGTCTTGAAAAACTAAAAAAAAAAATTCTGTGAGCATGGTGTATGTGTGTGTGCATGGTTATGTGTAGGAGGAAGTCTATGCCGCCATGAAACATGTGACTTACTAGAGGCGCATACAGATGAGGTAATAAAAGGGCGGTTTACCACACCGCTAACCACACCCACTTTAGGCAGGACTAAAGACGTATACGGCTGGACATAAAGACGTATACGTATGTAGGCAGAACTACGTCACTAGCCAAGCCCACTTTTGGGCATGGCTAGGGGCGTTACTGGGGAAGGCATAAAAGACAGCGCACAGGAAGTCTCGCTCTCTTTTCCTGGAGTTCGGCTTCCGGTCCAGTCGCTAGCTGAGATCTGCTGGGCTTCTCGGGGTTTGGTATCTTGTGAGTAATTTTCTAAATTAAATACTTAGCTTCACTTTCAGTAACTGTGTGTCACGTATTGTTACAGCGTCCGTAAAGCCAACAATTTGGTGTCGGAGTGGGATTGGAATCGGGACCCAGGCGCCCAGAAAAAAACGGCTTCTCTCGGCCTGACCAGGCACACGTGGACTCTCCTTTCGCTAAGTTCCTCACCACTTCGCTCGGCAAGGCACGATTCCTGCCGCCAGGAACCAGCACCTCCTACCTGCCGGTAAGGTTAGGCAGTATTCCAAGATTTCTCTTGCGGCCACGTGCTGTTTTACTGGCGGCCTGCTGACTCCGGCCACTTGCTCTTTCGCTGGCAGCCTGTTGATTTCAGCCTGAATTACTCCATTGGTAACAAACGTAACTGCTTTATACAATGTCAACAGCTAACACTATGATGCAGGATGTTAAGAATTTTCTTGGTTTTTGTATGGATGGGATTTTAGAAAGGGTTGAGGACCTACCTGAAAGGTACTTCCTACCCACAATGGTGATTATTAGCTTTATAATCAATATAATTTTGTTAAAGAAATGGCTCAAAAATAGGAATAAACTTATACAGGTCATACAGTCATCGCAGGATAGTTTTGAAATCTTAATACAAAGAATTCAGGAAATGAAAAATTCATTGCAGGAGAGTAAGAAAGGGCTGGTAGAAAATATTCAGGATATTAAAAATGATAATGTAGGTCTGACGAACAGGTTTAAAGAGACGGAACACAAAATTGAATTATTTTCAGGAAAAATGTGTTCCATAGATAGAATTGAAAAATTGGAACATAATGTGGAAACATTTAACGACAAACACGGTTCCATGTTTGATGATTTCACTAGCAAATTACAAAGACTGGAACATAAAATTGAAATGCTAGCAGAAAAGAATTGTTCCATGTCTGAGAGCAATGATAAACTAACTGATAGAATATCATTTGTAGAAGGCAGTTTACATGCTATTGAGGTACTTGCTAAGGATGAGAATATTAGAAATTTGGAATCACATGTAAATGATGAATGTAAAAAATGAAAGATTCCATGACATCCTTAGAAAATCATTTGTCCCAAGAACTTCAAGAGCTCAGAGAAACAATGATGAATAGACTGCAGGATTTAGAAGACGCTCAATCTGATGCTTCAGAATCAGAAATACAGGCAACAGGTCAGGACAGGAGTTTCCCAAAGCTTCTCAAATGCCGGAATGATTTCCCTAAGGTTGCTATGCGTTCCCCTATGGTTTTTCCGGTATCTGTAACAGAAAAACCAGCAACGAAAAAACAATCGAAGATCCACTGCCCATTGTAAATAATACGGCACTGGATAATACATTAGCTCCAGAGGATGAATCAATTACATCAGGAGGAGATACAAAACATATATTTTGGCAAACTTCTATACAATATCATAGACCCAAACTTCCGGTTAAGGTAAATAATAGGGTGATTTACGGATTACTGGACACCGGAAGTGACGTCACTATCCTTAATCAGCAGTCCTGGCCACAAAACTGGGCTTTAAAAGAGGTTAATGTTCAATTCTTGGGGATTGGAACCCTATCTGAAGTTAAACAGAGCGTTAGATGGATTGACTTTATTGGGCCAGAAGGACAGAGAGGAAGGTTAAAGCCATATGTTGCAGATATTGCTATAAACCTCTGGGGTCGTGATCTACTCCAGCAATGGAATACGCAGATTAAAATTCCTCCGGTATCAGCTAGGAATTATAGACAAGCTCTTAGTGGTAGTAAGAATATAGTAAGACAGTACAGAAAACAGATGCCAAATGTACAGGCTGTGCAGAAGCAAGATGCTAGTGCCAAACCTACAGAGCAACCAAAAGCTCTACCATTAAAATGGCTGACAGAGGAACCCGTCTGGGTGGGTCAATGGCCTATGACATCTGAGAAGTTAGAGGCTTTGGAGAAGTTAGTTCAGGAACAGCTAGATGCTGGACATATTGAGGAATCAACTAGTGCATGGAATTCACCTGTTTTTGTTGTCAAGAAGAAGTCTGGTAAGTGGAGAATGGTTACTGATCTTAGAGCCATCAACAAGGTAATTCAGCCTATGGGGTCTCTACAACCTGGGATGCCGTTACCTTCTCTAATTCCTAAGGATTGGCCAATTATAGTTATAGACTTAAAAGATTGTTTCTTCACCATACCGTTACAAGAAAACGACAGAGAAAAGTTTGCCTTCACAGTACCTACCTATAATAATTCCCGTCCGGTACAGAGATTCCAGTGGAAGGTACTACCTCAAGGTATGTTAAACAGTCCAACTTTGTGTCAATATTTTGTGAATAAACCTCTAGAAATAATTCGTAAAAAATTTCCACATTCGTTAATATATCATTATATGGATGACATATTATTGTCTGATTCAAATAAGGATACTTTGGAAAAGATGTTTGAGGCAGTAAAGGAAATTTTGCCTCGCTGGGGATTACAAATTGCCCCAGAAAAAATACAAAGAGGAGATTCTATTAACTATTTAGGTTATAAAATAGATGCTCAGAAAATTAGACCACAGAAAGTACAGATCAGAAGAGATTGTTACCGGACTCTTAATGATCTTCAAAAACTATTAGGAGAAATCTCTCAATTACAGACGATTATTGGTGTAGAAGGGCATGATTTAAAACACCTGAAAATGGCTTTAAAAGGAGATAAAGACCTAAACAGCCCACGAGTACTATCAGCTGAGGCTGAAAAAGAATTAGAATGGGTAGAAAAGAGAATATTAGAAGCACATGTGGACCGTGTGGATCCAAATCTGGACTGTATTCTGGTTATTTTACCATCTAGAGAATACCCCTCAGGAATATTAATGCAGAGGGACGACATCATTCTAGAATGGGTATTTCTGCCACATAAACAAAATAAAAAATTGAAAACATATATAGAAAAGATATCTGATTTGATATTAAAAGGTAAATTAAGGCTTCGTCAACTGACTGGGAAAGACCCAGCTGAAATTATTGTACCATTAACGAATGAGGAAATTTCCTCCTTATGGAAGGATAATGAGTATTGGCAAATAGCTTGCAGTGACTTTTTGGGAAGTATTAGTAATAACTATCCCAAAACAGAGAGAATCAAATTCATAAAGAAAACAATTTGGATTCTTCCACGTATCGTGAGACAAACACCTATTTCTGGAGTTCTTACCTTCTACACGGATGCAAACAAATCAGGTAAAGCAGGGTATAAATCAGGAAATATAAGTAAAGTAGTTCAAAGCCCTTACAACTCCGTACAAAAGGCAGAGTTATATGCCATTCTCATGGTACTTAAAGACTTTACAGAGCCTCTCAATATAGTCACGGATTCTCAGTATGCAGAAAGAGTTGTCCTGCACATTGAGACTGCAGAATTTGTTCCTGATAATACAGAATTAACCTCATTGTTTTTACAATTGCAGGAAATCATCAGAAACAGGACTCATCCTATATATATAACACACATCAGATCCCATACAGGTCTGCCAGGTCCTCTGGCACAAGGCAATGATGAAATTGATCGTTTATTAGTAGGTAATGTGTTGGAAGCTTCAGAATTTCATAAGAAACACCATGTTAACAGCAAAGGTTTAAAGAAGGATTTTTCTATCACCTGGCAACAAGCCAAAGAAATAGTAAGAAATTGTCCCAGTTGCTCATTGTACAATCAAACTCCATTACCAGCAGGTTGTAATCCTAAAGGTATTCACAGAAATGAACTCTTGCAAATGGATGTATTTCACTTCCCAGAATTTGGCAGTTTGAAATATGTACACCATACTATAGACACGTTCTCAGGCTTCCAATGGGCTACTGCCCTCAGCTCTGAAAAAGCTGACTCTGTTATTACACACCTCTTAGAGGTGATGGCTGTTATGGGTATACCTAAAACAATAAAAACTGACAATGGTCCAGCATATGTCTCCAGTAAATTGGAACAATTCTTCAAATATTATAATATAAAACATGTAACTGGTATACCTTACAATCCCACAGGACAAGCAATAATTGAAAGATCTAACCGGACTTTAAAAGAGATGCTTCATAAACAGCCAGGGAAAACAAAGACACCTAGACACAGGTTACACAATGCTTTACTAACGTTGAATTTTCTTAATGCTGATGAAAAAGGACAAACTGCAGCAGAAAGACACTGGACTACAGAGAAGACTTCTGAACTGAACCAACCGGTGTATTTTAAGGATGTTATGACCTCAGTCTGGAAACCAGGATATGTGTTACGTTGGGGAAGGGGTTATGCTTTTGTTTCCACAGGAGAAGAAAAGGTTTGGGTTCCATCAAAATTAATTAAAATTCGATCAGAACAGAAAACATCTCAGGAGGAGGAAGATAACAGCCCATCTACAAATTCATAGTCCACAATGGGTAAAGTGACCTCCTAAAAGGAAAGAGAAGTGCTTTGTTTTTGTCTTCACAGGTAAACTCAGCAAAGAATACTGGACATATGGATTCCTGTAGAAGAATGAATAGCTACCCTGAGGACCATCAAACACACACTGTGTGGTATCAAAGTCTAAATCTCTCTATATTGCTTTTTCATAGTACACCTTTATCTTTATTTCTTCACATACCTCAGTTCCCATTCATTTAACTGAAACTGGCTTTGGAGTTGGATTGGCTCTCCTACTCTAAACCCAAGCATGTTATTTAAATACAATTCAGAATTTCTGTATTATATCAAAGAGCCATTGATATAAGACAGAAGAAATAAAATGAGGGACTGTTATCTATGGATTTCTTTTTCTGAACAGTCTAATTTCCTCCAGGTTTTCCATCTTCCCTATTGTCACCTCTTCTGTATGCTTACATATGAAAGTTAAAATATTTCTTTGTTAACAGTAATGTTCGAGTTTTCCAGAGAACAAGGGATTTCCTGACAGCAATCTTCAACTGCTTCCGAAAGAGAATGAGGATCCACTTCCTTGACTTCACCTGATTCGACTGGAGGCATCTGAATTGCCCCACATCATTGACTCCACCTGACAAGCACTATCCTGAAACTGGCTTGAAACTACATCACTCGACACAACTCCAGACCAAGGAACAGAAATAGCACATCTTCTACAATCTGACCAGAGCTTCAAGATAAGAGCTTCAATCAACACTAGAACCTCAGTCAGGAACTTCAATCAAGCAGCTCCTGCCATACTGAGACTGTCTGATCTACTCAGATTTTGTTATACTAACATTTTCTTTTCACAGGTCCCCATGAGATTATCATCGTCCCATCTCAGCAGGAAGTAGTTTTGAGAATTCCACGCCCCCTCTCCCTACTATTGATATTATAAGTTTACACCTGTTAGTGTTAGTTTTCCATTATTTTAGAGTTGGGATTGGAAGGAGGTGTTCATATTTGGGTGTTTCTTTAAGATAAGTTTAGGTTTAGATAGAATAGATGTTTGATACATTTTGTTCATGGACACAAGTTAGTTGTCCTTTTTTAGACTAAAAGGGGAATTGTAGGAGGAAGTCTATGCCGCCATGAAACATGTGACTTACTAGAGGCGCATACAGATGAGGTAATAAAAGGGCGGTTTACCACACCGCTAACCACACCCACTTTAGGCAGGACTAAAGACGTATACGGCTGGACATAAAGACGTATACGTATGTAGGCAGAACTACGTCACTAGCCAAGCCCACTTTTGGGCATGGCTAGGGGCGTTACTGGGGAAGGCATAAAAGACAGCGCACAGGAAGTCTCGCTCTCTTTTCCTGGAGTTCGGCTTCCGGTCCAGTCGCTAGCTGAGATCTGCTGGGCTTCTCGGGGTTTGGTATCTTGTGAGTAATTTTCTAAATTAAATACTTAGCTTCACTTTCAGTAACTGTGTGTCACGTATTGTTACAGCGTCCGTAAAGCCAACAGTTATGTATGTGTGTACATGGTGTGTACAGGCGTATTTGGCATATGCATGTATGTACATGAATCGTTAAATGTGCACTGACAGTATATGGGTATATGCACCTTTATGAGTGTGTGTGTGTAGGCATATATGTGCATGGTGTATCATGTGTGTATATGCGTAATGTTTGCATGTACGTGCACCTAAGTGTGAAAGTCTGCTCCCTGTGTGCACATATGAAGGCCAGACATGTACATCAGGTGCCTCCTCTATTAATTTCCACCTTATTTTTTTTAATGTGTGTGAATGGTGTGCATGTATGTCTGTGCTATATGTCTTATGTGCCTGGTACTGATGGAGGCCAGAAGAGGGTATCGGATCTCCTGGAACTGCAGTTACATAAATGGTTGTGAGCTGCCATGTGGGTTCTGGGAACAAGATCTGGGTCTTCTGGAAGACCAGCCAGTGCCCTTAACCCTCACTGTTTTGGCTGGGTTTCCTCGGGAGCCCCTAAGACATTCCTGTCTCCATCCCCTAGTACTGGGGTGGCATGTGACTGCTGCCACACCCCACTTTGTGTGAGAGCCGGATTCACACTCGGGGCCTTATGCTTGCAGGCACTTTACCAACTGAGGGATGTCCATTTATCCTTTATTTTATATTGGTTTAACTGTTGTAGCACAGGCTATCTTGGAACTCACTGTAGCTCACACTGTCCTCCAACTCATGGTGATTCTTGCCTCAGTCACCTAAGTACAGGGATGATGCACTGTAGTCAACATTACATGTGTGTGTGCATATATGCATATTTTTTCCTTTGGAGACAGCAGTTTACTATATAGCCTCGGCTAGCCTAGAGCTCACAGAAATCCCCCCGCCTCTGCCTCCCAACATCCAGTATTGCACCCACCAGCCTCAGTGATTTATGTTACTGTCAGAGCACACTGAAAGTCAGGTCTGCTGATACCTGTGTCCTCTCTGGGCCAGCTTCTTCATGTGGTAAGTGAGCAGGTCCCAGTGGCTACTTCAAAGGCTCAATGGGAAAGTGTCCGGCACACAATAAGCGTTTAATAGATGTTGACCATTATCTATTCATGTTCAAGACGCCATCCTGGGGACATGGGGCCTTTAGGAGAACTCACTTCCTCTTTCCCAGTTCCCAAAGACCCTGACCTAGCTTTGAAGCCTAAATCTGTGGTCTGTACTTGCAGAAGTTACATCTCTCCCCACCCACCGCCCACAAACCTGCCGACCCATCTGGCCCAGGCAACAAATGCACTGTGCACTCTCCAGGCGACCGACCAGTCCAGGGACAGCGGGTGCTCCTGGTCCAACTGCCGGGAAGTGCTAGTGCTGGCAAGTCCCCGCCTCTTCCCTGGCGGCGCCGGGGCGCCCCTCGGCACTCACCGTTCGCAGGGTAGTCTGGCTGGGACCCTGGACCCCGCCCCACTGCCCGGAGCGGCTGCAAGGCCGGGGCCAACGCGCCGCGGGCCATTGGCCGCCTGATCGCGCATGCCCTTTGGCCGCAGTCCGGCCCGCCCGGCCTACGAGCCTACGTTCCTATTGGTGGCCGTCCAATAGCGGCGTCACTCTGGACGCTAGCGGTGGAGGGACGTCTTATCCGTGATTTGTTGGAGAGGCAAGCGGAACCCGCTGAGGCCTCTGCGATTGGACGTGCGAGAAGAGGGCGGAAACGCAGAGCAGGTTGAAGGACCGGGCGGAAGAGTGAGGTCTGTGGGCGAAGGGCCTGGAACCTGCACTGTCCAAGCTTCCCCAGGCACACGCCTGGGCTTGGAGGCTGCAGTCGCCAGACTTGAGGCTCCCGGTGTTGTCCCTTCCGACCCAACCTCTCCCACTACCATCCATTTCTAGACACAGGGTCTCTCGTAGCCCAAGCACCGCCCACCCCAGCAGCGTTTCTTAAATGGTACTTGGTGACGTAGGCTGTAGCTCAGTTGGTGGAGTGCATGCATGCATGAAGTTCTGGGTTCCATCCCCAGCCCGCCTTCAGTGTGACACATGCGTGTAGTCTCAGCATTTGAGTGCAAGAGGAAGGCTCAGAAATCCAACATTATGGTGGGGGTGGGGGATGATTTAGGCAAGAGGAGACCCAGTTTTTGTTTTGTCGAACACGGTTTCTCTGTATAGCCCTGCCTATCCTCCAACTCAGATTTGCCTGCTTCTGCCTCTGCCTCTGGAATGCCGGGATTAAAGGCCTGTGCTACCACCACCTTCCAACCCGAGACCCAGTTTTAAAATAAAAGTTAGTCCTCAGCACTCTTCTCCATGAGACCCCAACTTTGACGCTGGTCCTGTCCTTGGTTAGCCAAGAATCTTACTAAATCACACGGCAACCCTTGACCTGTGACCAAGTCCCCACACATCTGACGTGTCTTTGTCCTTCCCTCTAGCAAGAAGGTCTGGAAGGATGGGGCTGCAGCTAAGAGAACTTGGCTGTGTTCCCAGGAGACTCATGCTCAGCGCTCACCACCCACATGGCAGCTGACAACTTTCCATAATTCCGGTTCCAGGGGATCCGACACCCTCTTCTGACCTCCACAGGCAGCAGGCATGCATGTGGTGCGCAGACAGATATGTAGAAAACACACACGCACATAACACTTATTTACAAAACAACACTCAACACTGGCATGCTTGGTAGCACCTGGGAAGCAGAAACAGGTGGGTCTCTGAGTTCAAGTCCAGTTTGGGCCAGCCTGGGCTACCAAGTGCCTGAGACCCTGGAGGGGGGAGGGGGAGGGAGGGAGGGAGGGAGGGAGGGAGAGACAGAGACAGAGACAGAGACAGAGACAGAGACAGAGACAGAGACAGAGACAGAGACAGAGACAGAGACAGAGAAAGCCTGAAGACCTGAGTAAAACCCCAGGTTTCACACAGGGGAAGGAAAGAACTGACTGACTCTTGTAAGTTGCCAACTAATGCACTTTCTTTTTTTGTTGTTTTGTTTTGGTTTTGGTTTTGGTTTTTCGAGACAGGGTTTCTCTATATTGTATATATTAGCAATTACGGGTTAATAATCAAGTCAGAGCTAGCTGATAAGAAACCAAGCAAACGACCAACAGCTTCATAATTAACATAGTGTCTTGTGTGTTATTTGGGGGTTGAAAACAGCAACAGGAGCCAGGAGGTGGGAAGGAAGACTAAATGTTACACTAGTCCAACAAAGCCACACCTCCTAATGGTGCCACCCCTGTGAGCATTCAAACACATGAGTCTGTGGGGGCCACACCCTTTCAAACCACCACCGCCACGTGGGTGCTAGGAATCTAACCCTGGTCCTCTCTGAGAGCAGCCAGTACTGTTAATTACTGGGCCATCACTACAGCCTATTTCTTTTTCTTTCTTTTTTGCCTTTGTTTTTGAGACAGGATTGCTCTGTGTAGTCTGTTCTGGAACTTACTCTGTATACTAGGGTAACCTCAAAATCAGAGATCCACCTATCCCTGTCTCCCAAGTGCTGGGATTAAAAAGCTATATGCCGCCACCACCTGAATGAGATGTATTTCTTTTTCTTTTTTCTTTTCTTTTCTTTCTTTCTTTCTGCTTTTTTTTTTTTGGTGTTGTTTTTTTTTTTTTTTTTTTTTTTTTGGTTTTTCAAGACAGGGTTTCTCTGTATTGTTTTGGAGGCTGTCCTGGAACTCGCTCTGTTGACCAGGCTGGCCTCGAACTCACAGAGATCCACCTGCCTCTGCCTCCCGAGTGCTGGGATTAAAGGCGTGCACCACCAACGCCCGGTGAGACGTATTTCTTAAAATAATTTAATTTAAAAATAAAAAGCAGCCATGTGATCCAAGCCTGTTGTCTCAGCATCCAGAGATGGGGAGGTAAAGGAAAGAGGATCAGTAATTGAAGGTGGATCCTCTCTGGTTGTCTTCTAAATTAAAACTTAAGGATGCTTCTTTTTGTCATTGTTGTTGTTTGTTTTCGAGACAAGGTTTCTCTGTAGCTTTGGAGGCTGTCCTGGAACTCACTCTGTAGACCAGGCTGGTCGCAAATTCACAGAAATCCACCTGCCTCTGCCTCTGCAGAGTGCTGGGATTAAAGGTGAGCGCCACCACTGCCTGGCTTAAGGATGCTTCTCATCATTCTAAAAGCATCTCTGTCTGATCTATACATTTTAACCCAATCCATAGCTTTTGCTCTTATTCAAAGGTGTGATTCTACTGCAGCTGTTTTACAGATACCTGTTGGCTGCTTTTTCTAAAAAATGAATTTCAATACACATTACAAACAAATAATAACATAAGCTTCAGAGAGTCAAAAAAGTCTTAAAGCTCCAGTCCCCCTTTCACAGAGCAAATGGACTCCAGTTTAGTGCTCTGTCAATCCGGGGCCTGAGCTTCCATGTCTATTGCCTACTCCTGAGGGGAAGTTATAAATACAGTGTCCTTACATTCTTTAACTTCTTTCTGTCCCTAGTCTGCATCTGTCTTGGCAGTGTGCCGCTTGTTGGTTGACACCATCCAGAAATTGGCTGCAGACGGCAAACTGCTCCAGAGATGAGTCCTGGACTTGCTGAAAGTTGATGTGAACTGGTCCAGCCAATGTGATTGCTCCCTGAATCTCTCCCTGCAGCTAACATTCCAGCCTTCCTGGACACTAATTTCAGCAGGAAGAAATAGTTACAGAGGAGAGAACATTACCCCTTCTCCTCAACAAAGGGCTGGGATGTTAGATCCAAAGAAAACTCCCTGGTTGATGGGGGAAGTCCTGTACATTTGTTAATAAAGCACTGTTGGCCAATAGGAATCTAGATGGGTGGGACTAGGAGTCCAGGAGAATTCTGGGAAGGACAAACACAAGAGAGAGTCGAGATGTAATGCCATGGGTGTAGGAAGCCCGGAACCATTCTCCGGTAAGAGAAATACTTAGATTAACAATTATGGGGTAAGGCCGGGCGTTGGTGGCGCACGCCTTTAATCCCAGCACTCGGGAGGCAGAGGCAGGCGGATCTCTGTGAGTTCGAGACCAGCCTGGACTACCAAGCGAGTTCCAGGACAGCCTCCAAAGCCACAGAGAAACCCTGTCTCGAAAAAACAAAAAAAAAAAAATTATGGGGTAATTACTTAAGTCAGAGCTAGCCAGTAAGAAACAAGCAAGGCCAACAGCTTCATAATTAATACAGCCTCCTGTGTGTTTATTTGGGGACTACAACGTGGCAGAGCCCAGGCGGCTGGCGGGGGATAAACCAAAGCAGCTAGCAAAGAAAAAGATTCTCTTTACACCTGGTAAAGGGACAAAACGGCTATAATACCTATTGGCATGCCAAGATTACCTGGCCTTAAAAATTTTGCTTTTTCTAGCCTGGCGTTGGTGGTGCATGCCTTTAATCCCAGCTCTCAGCAGGCAGAGGCTCGGAAAACAAAAAACAAAAAATTGATCTTTCTATGTTCATAATTTATGAATGGGCCATGCATCTTTTGATACATTAGAAGCGTTGTCACCCCATAAGGAATGCCAAGACCCTATCAAAGATTTGGCAGGGACACATAAGACAGGGGGGAATGATGAACCAGTCTGCCTCCATCTTAATGAAGCCATCTTATAGTGAAGGCAAGCTAGGTTCATTCCTGCTTATGATTAAACCTCTGTCTCTCAAGGATTGGGCCATGCTCCACCTGTAACCTTAACTACAAATGGTTCTGAACTATATGTTCCAGGAATGTCAATCATGTCTTTGTTGTAAAAAGTTATAACCATCTTGAGACCCTACCTTTGTTTCAAAAGGTTGTTATGATTACCTTGTTATAATGACCTGTTGCTAAATTCTTTCAGGAGGTCATTATGCTAACTTGTTCTGCTTATGTTCTGCTCCTGTAATCCCACTGATTTTGCCTGCCAGATCCTCCATCTGGAAACACCTTACCCCTAGCTAAAAGCCTTTATCCTCCTTATGTCCAAGGCTGACCTCTCAAACCCTGCCTTAGGAGGAGGCAGCCCGTGTACATGAATAAAACACTTGGTTTAATTAATTGCTTGCTTTAATTAATTTGGCCTTGATGATTTGGGCCAATAGTTTTTCTCCTCCCATTTTTGGGATTAACATTTTTAGTTACTATTTTTTGTCTGTCTGTCTGTCTCTCTCTCTGTCTCTCTTGAGAGAGGGTTTCTTGCCTTGGCTGTCCTGGAACACACTCTGTAAACCAGGCTGGCCTTGAACTAAAGAGATCTGCCAGCCTTTGCCTCCCAGGTGCTGGGATTAAACACACCCTGCTTTAGTGGTTTTCCCACCGCTGAGATAAACACCATGACCCAGGTAGCTTACAGAAGGCAAGGGTGATTTGGAGCTTGGGGTTTCAGAGGGATGAGAATCCATCACCATGATGGCTTGTGATTGGAGATGTTACTCTCAGCTCTTCACAAGCAGGAAACAGCAAACCAGGATGGCACAATTTTTTTTAATTTAATTTTAATTTGTTTGTTTGTTTTGTTTTTTGAGACAGGGTTTCTCTGTGGCTTTGGAGGCTGTCCTGGAACTCGCTCTGTAGACCAGGCTGGCCTCGAACTCACAGAGATCCGCCTGCCTCTGCCT